GGGCCAGGGCTCCAAAAAAAAAAAAAAAAAAAGAACTAAAAACTTGGTCAAAAAAGCCGGCAGCCCATCCACAGGCTCGGAGCCAGTTCAAGCACCCGGAGCTACATGGCACAGTGGAACAGATGACTAAAGAACCGCCGAGAACAAACCAGACAGGAGAAAACCAGTTAGTCGTGCTGCCCAGCACGTGGGAGAAGAGTTTTCCCCTTCCTGACCGTCTGGGTCCCTTGCAAGCTCGGATCGATTGAGTTCTGGCGGGCCAATTATGATGGCAACACACGGCAACTGCAGCCCTTTCTTTTTTTTTCGACCGGCACCCCCTTTGCCTGACCTGACTGATGCCCATGGGTCGTTGTTTACGACAAGGAATGAAAGATGGTGTCACGATGAACCGCTTGTATGCGGCTCTCGGCTCTCTCTCAATTCACGGGAATGGTGAGCTAGTAATTCCCGTGGGCCGTGTTCCCGCCCTGCAGCAAAGAGCAGGGATTGATAGAAGCAGACGGAAGTACAATTGTCGTGAAAGAACACAAGGTGCTCGGAGATGGACAGCCGGTTTGTATCAAGTGTCGGTTGGACAGGTGTATCTCGTCTTGCCTCCATGGGCAAGAACCAGATGGACCATCAATGGGTTGGGGATGGTAAGTGACGTCTGGTTTGAAATTGAGAAATGACACACCACGTTGGCACACGTCAACGATGGATGACTCGATGGCCTCAGGTCATGGACAAGGCGGAAGCTGAATGAATGCCTTGGGGGCCGTTTCGCTTCGTGCCGACGGCCAAATGCCCACGCAACCCGTGACGCCGCCTGCCAGCGAGTGACTGTGTGTGGCTGCACGTGTCTGGTGGCCCAGCACTGGCGCAGCAGGAGGCGTAGCACTGTGCACATGCAGCATGCAGCATGAGAAATTTGCACCAGCCCGTTGACCACAGGGCTAGACGTCAACAGTGCCCTCGACGACACTCCGACACCACATGCAGCAACGGCAACGCCCCACAGCCCCGCCGGCGGACCTGTGCGGATCCAGTTCGAACCCACCAGGCACCGACTCCCATCAAGGGACATCAATCATCAAATCTGGTACCACGTAAACCGACTTACACGGCCTTGGGTAGCCATCACCATGTCCGACAAGTCTTGCTCCAGCAACAACTATAAGTATCTGCTAGACCTCCGCCTCTGTCGTACCTTTCCAACCCAAACAACCATCACACACCATTGAAAACAACAACAAAGCAATTCACCACACTCACACGCCCTTCAAAAAGACCATTATTCCCACTTGACTTGCAACCACACCAACCACCACAATGAACGCCGCCAACATCCAAGCCCAGCAGGCTCTCAACGCCTACGGGCCCGTCTCATCCCCTCACATCTTCGACCGCGCCTCATCCAAAAAGGTCTTTGCCGACATGCTCGGGTCGCGCCGCCCCTCGCCCGCCTCCACCCCGGCCGAGTCTCGCCGCGCCTCCGCCGACAGCTCCGCCGCCTCCAACAAGGACAAGAAGGACAAGAAGGACAGCAAAAAGGTCAAGCTGCCTACCGTCGTGCTGCCTTGTTTCCGATTCGTCAACTAAAAAGAACACTACACTTTGGCTTTCCTTCTCTTCTTTTTTCCCCAAACTCTAGCGGAATACACACAGCCTTGCCTGCTCTCCAGACAGGGCCGAGCGGGCACCGAGGGGATCAAACAACGTAATGGGCACACCTTGATTGAGAAGCGGGAGGTCCCAGCAACCTCCTGCGGATGGGACATGTTAAAATGGCGTCTTTGAAAAGCATGCAGCGTAAGGATGGGAATAATCTTGTTTTTTTTTTGGCATCAAATACCAATTTTCTTTTCTTGTTATATCCATGGGCTCTGACCACTTGGGCTCCTCTGGTACGGGAGGCGTTACACGAGCAAGAGCTTCGTAGTCATTTCTTTTCATAGAATCTGGTGATTTTGGCCTAGGCCAGTTAGCAGATAGGAGACTCAAAAGAAACATGTTTCCAAAAAAAAAAAAAAAAAAAAAAAAAAAAAAATTTTCACATGACTTTAAAATAGGGTCTTGTTATATCCATGGGCTCTGACCACTTGGGCTCCTCTGGTACGGGAGGCGTTACACGAGCAAGAGCTTCGTAGTCATTTCTTTTCATAGAATCTGGTGATTTTGGCCTAGGCCAGTTAGCAGATAGGAGACTCAAAAGAAACATGTTTCCAAAAAAAAAAAAAAAAAAAAAAAAAAAAAAAAAAAAAAAAAAAAAAAAAAAAAAAAAAAAAAAAAAAAAAAAAAAAAAAACACATTTCTACCATTGTGAAAACATCACTCATGGAGCGCGTTCTATATTGGTTCAATCTGGTATTAATTTCACGACGCCTTCTATTTCGACACTTCCACCCCTCCCTCTCTAGAAACTGTCATTCAGTATATCCTCATTCATCTTGACCATTGTCGGACTGTACTCGGACGACTCCATGTCTGCACCGGCATCCATCAATATGTCATCCACGATCCTCCGGCTCGCCTCCCGAGCTGTAATCGAATTAGCACTCTTCTCGCACTCTGAGCCCGTCGCCCCGCGAAACTTTTCGTCGCGAAACACATGGGAAATGGACAAACTCACCTGGCGTTTGCAGCAACTTGGACGGCGGCAGCACAAACTGAATCGTCTTGGGTGGGCTCATGCCCGCGTACAGGTCATCGTCTCCGTCCTCGTCGCTATCCCAGTCGATTTCGTACTTTGGTCTGCCACGCCTCGCCTCGCCTGCTGCTGCTGCACCGCCAGCCCCTTCATCCCCCCTCGCCGAAGCAAAAACGTCGTGCGACTTCTTTGCCGTCGCCGGCGTCTGGACGCTGACGCCGGGGGTCCTCGGGGCTTGAGCTGCCGCGCGTTGTCGCGCCATCAGCTTGTATGGCGACATGAAGACTTCGCTGCGCAACGTTGGCGCCGCAATTTCGGGCGATGACATGATGGAATCGTCGTATTGCCAAGCCGCTTTTTCCTTTTCCTTTTCCTTCTTCAGGGGAGATACTTTGATGCCCGGCCGGTGCGGTGTAGCTTGCACCCTGTAATTCTTGTCCAACACGCGGTGTAGCAGCGGGTCCTTGGTCTGTCTCGCCGATGCTTGTTGTCTGGCTGCGAGATTCTCGCGCTCACCTCTGGGCGTCATTGTGAGATCTGGCAGCTGAGCCGTCCGCTGGGCGAAAAGCACCGTGGAGTCCTCGTCGTCCTGCAACACCGTAGTCCCGTCCTTGTCGCCCTTGATTTCGCGCTTCGTCTTGTCAAACGGTGATGAGTGGCCCGAAACTCCTGCTTTTATCATCTCGGTCGCTGGGGGACGCGGGGTACTACCCGAAAGTTCAGCGTCGTCCAGAAGCGACTCGTCTCCGTGCATTGTGCTGTCTCGTGCGCCGGGTGTTGCCGTCATGTCGTGGTCGTGTGTTTGTGTGTAGTCGGCCGACGTCTCGTCCCTCATTGCCGTGCTGTCCTCCATGACTGTCGATTCGTCGTCGTTGGCAAGCTCCTCGTAGCCGGACAGCGAGACATTGGCGGACGCTTCGAAGAATTGCTTCCAAAACTGCGCAAAGGTTAGCACCCAGATTGGTTCTGTGGCCCGTCGTGTGTCCCCCTGTCGTTGGATGCCCACCTTGGATGCTTCCCACACGGCGCGAGAGTGCTCGCCATACTGCTCTACTACTGGTATTATGCTCGTTGTGACGATTCGGTGGGCTTTGCTGAAATTGTGATCAATTTCTATGCGAGTTAGCTCATGTCACTCGTACAAAAAAACAGCTTTTAGTCTCGTTATGGTGGTGAATATACCTTGCAGAGTCAGAGTGATGGATTGCTCGAGCTTCTCCAGCTCTTCCATCAATGAAAGATTACGCGCAGCTGCACTCGGTCGCGCCATCTTGGAGCTGGAAAAGGATGGGAAAGAATGAATTGGATCCTACCCGTCCCAAGTCAATGAATGCATCGGTGAGACTGGACCTTGTTGGAGGCGCGTCTCCACGCGTAGAGGGGTTCTGGCCCCGGGCTGGGTGTGACTGGTTTGGCGGGGCAGCTTGCTGTGTGTTGATCGTAAAGCGCTGGCACAGGCACAAGAGACCACGCATTTCAGGCACGTTCGAGCAATGCAACACGGATCAGATTTTTCTTAAATTTCATACGTCGTGAGTCATAATCTCAGTGAAAGGGCGATCGCCAACTCAGCGTCTACAGTAATAGTCACCCATATCCAACTTCACTAACAGCTGTGCAATCAAGCTATCATCGCCGAAGCCAGTGTCTTCAAACGATGTGCCATCTGCCGTCTTCTTGCTAGATGCCCTTGCCTTTTCCGACAGGCCACGGCAAACCGTAATAAACACTTGAACCTTCTTCCGGAATTCAGCATACATATGAGCCGAATTGCCCAATTCCGCAGATTCGCCCTCCCTGCCAAGTGCCTGTAACCTTGACTGCTTTGCGTATTGCAAGACAATGCCAAATATTTCCTCCAGGAGCTTAAGCACGGGTAATTGACGCTTCCTTAAAAATAGGGCGTACATAATCCGCTCCAACACTTGTGAATGCATGTCCCGTAGCTGGCTAGGACTGTACGCGGATTTGTCTGGGGCTAGATCGGGTTTGCCAAGATGAGCACGAATGTTGTTCAGCTTGCTCTCGAATGATTGCCACGGTATCGAAACACCACTGTCTAGGAAGTACGACGCGACGCTGGATACGAAATGCTGCGACTCTCTGACGAATCGATATGACGTATTCTCTTCGACCCATGTGTTAAGTCGTGAGTTGGTGTCCCGATACAGGTGATTTACGATGTACAGCATCCTCAGAATCCTGAGGAGAAGCTTGAAAATGCGGTCGTAGTGCATGAGCTGGAATGGTGTAATTATCGACGCAAGCTCGGGAGGTGTGGTGTACGAGAGTCGCAGGAAATCGAGAGCTTCCAATGCGTCGGGGTTCATACACTTGTTGATTTCTTCCTCGGACAAGTCTCGGACGGCAAAGCTCAGGTCTCCAGGTAGGGGGGAAGCACCTGAATCACTATTGATCGATCCTGACGCCTTCGTACCCCCCTGATAATCATAAGCCTCGCCAAGTACTCCCATCAGGGCAAGGCGAAGTTCGGAGCTTCCTGGCGGCCATGTATCGCGCCCTCCCAGTCGGAGGCCCATCACGCCTCCTTGCATCGCTACACCAGCCTGCCTTTCAGTTGTCTCGAGATCGGGATCAAACAAAGCGTGGGATAGCCGACTACAAAACAGGCCATTTCCGAGTAGGTGGAAGTCTCGCTGGAGTTTGAGGTGAAGTTGAATATTATTGGCTTCAAATAGCAAGCGCAGGCTTTCTCGATTTACAATTCGAGCTTGGGCAGCCGCAATGCCACCAAATGACAGAATCGGCAACAGAGACCAGTGTGGTGTGTCATCAGAAGCTGTACTGTCGTCTTCAATTTCGCTAGAGAACTTTGCTCGCACAATGAGACTTAGCGAATCATTGCTTGAACTCGCTATAAACGGCTGGCTGAGGTGATCCATCGACGCAACCAGCCGCTGCTCCATGGTCGATTTATCAAAGCCGAAAAAGTTCAACTCGAGTTCAGAGGCGGGCTCATCTACTCCAAGATTGGAGTGAACAGCAGCATGTGCTGTGGCGGAACGGCTTTCCTGAATAGCATTCAGTATGCGATCTTGATACTGGGCGATACGATCCTCAAGATCCAAAATAGAAGCCCAGTCGTATAGCCATCTCGCAGCGGGCGGTTGGTTCGATATGATAACGTCGGATCGGGCCAGAACGTGATCTGGGTGGAATGTTCGAATAAACCGTAGGTTTCTGCCAGTCTCGAATATGGACTCCGCAATATCGAAAGGCAAAAATTGCGGGACTTTGCCAATATCCAACCGAAAGTCAATGTCCTCAACTTCTCTTCCGAAATCGTCAATAAAGACTTCGACATCGACTGTGACGAATCCCTTGGTCTCCCCAATGTTGGACCTTGCAAATGGCATGCCCACCTCACGCCGTGTGCCAAGCCATTCTTCAATTGACTCGACCCAAGGATTTGATATCCGCTGCAATATTTCGCAAAGCATATCCCTGATATACCTTTCACTGAATTCAAACGTGGATGCCTCCCGAAAAACGAGCGACAAGATCTCTTCATCTGGAAGATCCCGAGGTATTCGCGCTGCGAGATCGTCTAGGGGACGGAGAATGGTAGATGCTTCTCTAATCGTGGTCTGAAGTTGTAGCAACGATTCGGGAAATCGGCCGTCCACGGAGACTCGATGCTCTACGGCTTGTAGGATTTGGTTCATGGCGCTGGCTAGTGCTACAGCACAGCGGCTCGAAGATGGAGCGTATGACGATTGACAAAATGAGCTGAGCCGTAAGAATGCGGAGCCGCACATTGCGGCTTGCCTTTCTACGCCTTGAAGTACCTGTCGGCTGTACCCAGACACTCGTAACTCTGGAAGCGTGCACTTGAAAGTCCAATCTCCAGTAGTTCTTGCGAAAAAGACGGATTCCCGGCCAAGGCACAAGGCCAGCACAGATATAAAATAGGCCCTAGTCTCAACAGCCGGTGTGCTCGTATTCTGTAAAGTTAACGAGTCCGTTGGCCAGCTTAAAAGGGCATCGTATGCGCCTCGTCCGGCTTCAGATAGAAGCATGGGCACAAATGGCTGTAGCTTTCCCGTTTTGAATGTCTCCCATGTTCTGAAGGCAGCCGGCCTTGGCTGCTGTTCGGAAGAGCCGGTCCATATGTCGCTCTTGTCCTCAAACTCTTGATGCTCTTGAAAGGTCGAGGCTGTTACGTCCGAATCTTGGAGCTCGTCTGGGTCATCCGTGCGAGGTTCGCCAACTTCTGGTAGCTTGAAGAAGCCATCAGTATCGAGTGCGATCGGTTCCAACGGTAACAAGGTAGACTTGACATTGTATAGTGCTAGTTTGGAATAATTCAGTATTGAGGAGAGTCACCACGGGTGGAAAGGGCGTATGCGCATACCCTCAAGCCCGTGGCCAAAAAGTGAGGTGGACGTCTCGCTGGCCAATTGATCGAGCCACCTTGACGTCTTCCAAAAGTCTGGGATGGCGAAAACATCTGCTTCGCTTGGTTTGTCCGTCATGTCTTCATTGCTATGAGTGCTACACCGTTTGTATCATTTCTTTCCTTGGTTGCACCTAGGCAATATTGCTTCAATGGCCTGTCGCCGCGGATCCAGGAAGACGCGCAAGGTCGCGTTTGCAGGAGCTGCCGTGGCCCCGCGCTAAAACGCAACTGCACATTGTGGACTGCGGCCACCAGACCAGAGACAAGTGAGCTCATCGACCAATCGCCAAACTCGGAGCTCTCCCAATACTTTTTCAGTCTCGGACAGCAACAGCCAACGGCAACAGAAACGTAGGCATTGCCAGCCCAATCAACTACATGGTGTGTTTCCAGGCCTACATACGTACAGATCAGTCCAGAACGACTGTGCCTGAAGCCGGAAATGCCTCCCAGGAAACGTGCGCGTGGCCAAGCCGTCGCAACGCCGAGCGCAACCCGGGACGATGATGCCATGGACATTGACACCCCTGCTGCCAGTGAAGCTGGGGATCGCTCGAAACATGGCGCCCCGAATTACAATAATATGTGGACAGATGACCAAGTCGCTTCCCTTTTCAAAGGGGTCATTCGCTGGAAACCGGCGGGTTTGTGACCATTCGCAGCAGACAATTAATCAAGGCATGCTGGGCTAATCACGTCAATCTAGGCATGCACAAGCACTTCAGGATGATTGCGATATCTGAACACTTGCGAAACCATGGCTTCGATCCCGACATTTACCAGCATACCAGAATCCCCAACATTTGGGACAAGTTACGGACTTACTACAATCTCGACCTCATCGACGAGCGAGAATACTTTGACGATGACGAGTCTGAAGATAAATACGTCGACTTTACACTGCCTCACTCCCATTTCCTTGACTCCATGATGCAGAGAGCAGTAGCCGACTCTAGTGAAGCCCCTACCTCTCCGCCACAACTGGAACTCTCACCCGGTCTGTCGCATGCAAGAAGACGAACGAGATCAGGAACCGCGTCAAAGACCAGGGCCACCGACGCTGAAGATACCGAGGACGGTGCGGATGCTCCATCGCCAGCTGCCAGGCTAGCTAGGGGACCAAGGGGGCGCACGAGGGCGGCAAGCCAGCAGGCTAAGCCGGAGAAGAACGATAGGAGTGACAAGGACAAGGCCGAGAAGGATAAGGCAGAGACAACGGAGGAGGAGGAAGACGCTGAAAATCAGGAGGATGGGAGTGGGTCCGGGGAGGATGAGGATGAGGGAGAAGGTGAGGGCGAGGGCGAAGAGGAGGAAGAGGAAGAAGCGGACGAGAGCGCTGAAGAAGGTGGTACGCCAGCGTCGAGATCGACTAGGGCGGCCACGAGGAAGAGCCTTGCTCCTAAACCTACAACACGGAGGACAAGATCAAGGAAATAAGAATGAAAAGTTGTTGACTCGTTGAACGTTTTTTTAAAGTACAGATATCCAGTTGTATACTCAATCAAAATGCAAAGGCGGAAAACTTTGCGCTTCTTCTATTGATCATGTGCATCTTATTCATCATGCCTTGTATTATCCAACGTCTCCCATTCCCCATAATATTCCAACTTTGAAGCCCAGTCTCGCCCAAGGGGATAGACATTATCCACACTTAAATTCGATCTATGTACGCGACCGGGATCCTCCACTTTAGGCAGTTCCATTGGCGGCTTTTTCTTCAAGATATCCCACATCTCGGTCTCTGCTTGATAGCTGGCATACTCATCGTGCACCTCGGCCTGCGCTTCCTGTTGCCTCTCTGTGGTGATGCGCAGTTTGAGCGCTTGCTTTGCGGCTTGAATATCCTTTAGCTCCGGGGTTGAGTAAAGCAGAATCTCCTTAGCTTCCTGCGTAATCTCGTGTTGTTCATCATCGTCATCTCCCGTTTCCGAATCAATGCCAGTGTCGTCATCGCCATCTTCATCGCCCTCTTCCACATACTCATCAGGCGAAGCTTCATCTGTGAAAATCGCATCCTTTGGAGCTTCAATTTCAGTGCTGTCATCATTCCTAGAGAGAGTAGCCTCAACTTCTGCATACGTCATGGGCTCCTCTTCAGCTTCCTCGTCATCTTTATCTGGAGGTTCGTTAAAAACGTCCAATCGCAACCTTCTCGCGCTTTTAATCCACCTCGATTCCGAATTATGTGGCATGGCGAGTGAAGCAATTGCGGCTTCAACATCTTTTCTCCGGACAATATCCCGAGTGGTAGGAATAAGCTCCTTCTTCGCCCTGATTCTCGACATGCTAATGAACAAGGTTGTCTGAACGAGTCGTCTGGTGACAGAAACAGCAAGTGAGTGAAAATCGTCGAATGCAGTGGCCCACATTGATGGTCTTTGATTGTCGATGTAGTTCCAGTTGTTGCCGGGAACCGATGAATTCATAAATACGCGCTCCGACAACTTTAACCAGTTAGACAGATGAAATAACTGGGAAAATTTCAACGTCGCCTCGGACGTGTCATCCCCCTCCTCGCCGCGGTGGCTTAATCTCATGGCTAGAGAAGGAGTAATATCCCAGTTCTGTCCCCATTTCAGCTTCTCTCGTTGTTCCTCTCTGCGCTCTTGGAGGATTGAAATAGTATCGGCAGCTTCTTCTTGAACATGGCAGCACTGTTGGCTGATCTCAACAGCTGCTGGATACTCTGCTGGCTCCAAGTAGGATCGAGGTCTCAATCTCTGTCTGCTATCTTTGGCTGCTTGCAACAGCTCGACGTACTGTTTGACCTCTATTTCACTTTTGCTCCCTATTTTGGTTGCGATACCGGGCAAATCGTATTTGCCTAGTCGTGATACAGACTCAAAAAATTGCCCTTTTTCAACTCTGGACCAGAAGGTAAGTCCGACCTGAGAATCAGGCAAGTCGACAATGTCCTCCAAACAGACTTGATGGACAGAGTCATCAATCTCGCGATTGAGAAGATCCAGGTATTCGCGGTTCAAGACACCTCTTTGCCTCTTAAATGGCCGGTTGGCAAAGGCTTGTTCAGTGGAACGTTTCAATAGCGATCTGCTGGCCAGGTGATCGTCATCCTCGGATACATGGTTGGCTTTGAGGTTGATGGATTCGTCGCTTGAAGCATAGGAGCTGCCTCTACCACTGTGATTCACCGTCGAGTAGATTCCGGGGCTTCCTCTCAGATCCGCGTTTGCAGCATCTGATTCATAGCCGGCGAAATTTTCCTCGTCAACGGAGTTCTCTTCGTCAGGGTCCATGCTCCCTCAATTTCCGAAGCGATGAGTGGTAACTGGGTCGGTGTTGACATTGTACCAGGGATAAATGCTGGTATTGTATTCTTAGAAGAGTTGCATCAGGGGTAATAATTTGTGTAAAAGATTTGAGCATTGAGCGTTATCTTGAGTGTTTTGCCTCTACACTGAAAATTGTCTGTCTTGCTAGTGAGCTTGAGGTGAATCGAAGAAGAAATCCCGGTGGATCCCTTTGATGACTAAGCTTCATCGGCGCTTTCACGACCCCCCAACGGGGGTAATACTTGGACTATCATGTTCGTATTTGTCACACTCTAGCTTTACAACATCACAGCTGAAAAAGAAAGCAGAATCTGCAGTGATGATATTTTGGCTAACACGCCAAAATTTTCTTCAAAGCAACAGAATCTCTGAGGTTTCTCTTTGATTCTTTCAGGAGGCATATCCACCACCCGTAGGCCACAAGCTCGTTATTGCAGCATTTCATGACCACCAGGAACATTGAGCTTCATCATTGATATTCTACAAAACAAAGCCCCAGTGCCTTTTCCCATTCTTTAATTTGACAGCCGTTCTTGCGTTCGGTCTTTATATTTTACGAGCCCAAGTTTTGCCAATGCGCTGACATAATGAAAAGTGGATCCAGACGCGATGCAGAATGTTTCCTTGCCAGCTCGCCAGCATCAAAGCTGCTCCTGTCTGTCACCAGGTTTTGGAATCTCAGGCAGCTTGGATACGTTTCGCCGACACAATTTATGGCCACCTCATAATGTACAATGCTACGCACCGTTGCAAAATGCGTGTTCAGACCATCGGTTGAGACAGCCAAACCTGCATGGAAGATAACACCTTTCAAAATCTTCGTCGCTGGCCGTACGCTTACTTCCAAGCCAAAGCTCCGAGACTACCAGCAAGAATGCATCAGATCAGTTCTTTTATCCCTGAGACGCGGTCACAAACGCGTAGGGATATCACTGGCTACTGGAAGCGGCAAAACTGTAAGCTCGATTGGTGTTTAGTTCCAAGGAACCCGTATTCTGAACGCCATGCCAAATGCTAACATGGCCCAGGTTATCTTCACCCAGCTCATTGAGAAAGTGCATTCGCGCCCAAATGACGGGTGCCGCACTCTCATTCTGGCTCATCGTCGTGAGCTAGTGGAACAGGCTGCCCGGCATTGTCAACTGGCATATCCAGACAAGACTATTGAAATTGAAATGGGCTCGATTCATGCTTCGGGAACAGCAGACATTACCATCGCCAGTGTACAGAGCATTACGTCTAGGGACCGTTTGGAAAAGTTTGAACCCTCCAAATTTAAATTGATCTTGGTGGACGAGGCCCATCACATTGTGGCGCCGGGATACCTTAAGACTCTCAAGCACTTCGGACTGGACCAGAAGCAACAAGATTCACCAACACTCGTCGGCGTGTCAGCCACATTCTCCAGATTCGACGGTGTCAAACTTGGTGCTGCGATTGACGAAATTGTCTACCACAAGGACTACGTTGACATGATTACCGATAAATGGCTCTCGGATGTCATTTTCACCACTGTCGAGTCTTCCGCCAACCTGTCCAAGGTAAAAAACGGTGCCTTTGGTGACTTTCAGACAGGGGAGCTATCCAAGGTTGTCAACACCGACGAAGTCAATGACATTACCGTCAAAAGCTGGATAGCCAAAGCCGGAGACAGGAAAAGTACCCTGGTTTTCTGTGTGGATTTGGCTCACGTGTCTGGTCTTACACGCAAATTTCGGGAATATGGGTACGATGCTCGCTTCGTTACCGGCGACACTCCCAAGCAGGAACGAAGTGAGATCCTGCATGATTTCAAAAAAGGATGTTTTCCTGTTTTGGTGAATTGTGGTGTTTTCACCGAGGGAACCGACATACCGAACATTGACTGTATCGTTCTCGGCAGACCCACGAGGTCACGAAATCTCCTTGTCCAAATGATTGGAAGAGGTATGCGGCTTCACCCGGGTAAAAAGAATTGCCACGTCATTGATTTGGTTTCAAGCTTGGAAACTGGCATTGTAACTACGCCGACATTATTTGGTCTAGATCCGAAAGAGTTAGTGGACAAGGCATCAGTGACAGACATGAGAATGATAAAGGAGGCTCAAAGAGAAGAAGAAGCGAGGCAGCAGGAAGCGCACTCGAATGGGTCGAACTCGGCAACTAGCTCGGCCGACGCGGTTACATTTACCGACTACTCCTCTGTGCTGGACCTAATCGCCGACACGTCTGGAGAGAGGCACATCCGCGCCATCAGCCAGAATGCCTGGGTACAGGTCGGTCCCGAAAGGTTCGTCCTCTCAGCTCCCAGCGGATCATATATCCGTATCGAGCGAATCCAGGAGCCAGTGACGACCTCATCCCCGACATACAGGGCACTCGAGATCCGCGCTTTACCTGCTGGGTTGGCGAAATCCCCGTTCGCTGCACCGAGAGAAATCCTCACAGCTGCTACGTTTACCGACGCTGTTCACGGAGCAGATAGTTATGCAGCCAACGCATTCCCTCATAGCTTTATACACCGGCACCAATCGTGGAGGAAGCTGCCACCGACACAAGGGCAGTTAGACTTTGTAAATAGATTACGTGGAAAGGCGAAAGCGTTGACGGTGTCGGATTTGACAAAAGGCAAGGCGGCGGACATGATTACAAAACTAAAGCACGGTGCTCGTGGGCAGTTTGCGAGGATAGAAGCCGAGCAGCGCAGGAGAGAGAAGCAGACGAATATTTTGGAAACGAGACAGAACCGGGAGCGGGTCACGGTTGGGCCCGTCATGGCATAACTCGGCAGAGTCCACTGAGTCTTCATTGGGAACGGGCGAGACTGTATTTCACAATGGGGCATTTTGGCGTATGGACTCAACGACATAGACTATTTTGGCATTAGACGATACCATACTGTATTTAGTTTGCATCATGTATACATGAATGTTTTCCATGACCACAGCTGTATGTACCCTTTAGATCACCACAAAAGCTGTATCCTCGTCAGCAGAGCAGAGCCCAAATTCCACACAGGCTATTCTACACACCCAATATCGCTCTGTTTCCACCCCAACGGCCCTAAGAAAGTCCTTGACACAATCCAACCCCCGAATCCCTCTGCCACATTTCACAAACCACCAGCAACCCGCTCAATCGCACCAAGGCACCCGTCAACACCAAGATATGCATCCAGTTGTGGCTCTGCCCCAAGAGATCAATCGTGCCAGGGAACCACCTCTCGGGAATCCTAGCCGCATAAACAGCTGCCCCCGAGAAGTTAATGAGTGCCAGGCCAAAGAAAGAGCTCAGGCCCATCATATCGCTCAGCGCCGCATAGCCATACTTGAAGGTCCCATGCACCACCGGCGCAAACAAGCTGGCACCCAAGAAACAGTACATCAGAAACCGCGTCGTCCTATAGCTCGGCTGGCGAAACTTGGGCTTCAAGGTGAAGACGGCACAGCCGAATGCAGTGGCAGTGAGAGCGAGGAAATACAATGACCGCAGAAACGGGCTACAGCAAAAATCCGAAGTGAACGCCAGAGATGCCCGTCCCCCACATGACGAGCACGACGCCAAGGTGGTCGAGTTCGTTGCCGAAGCGGTGCATCTCCGCAGAGTGGTCCGAGAAGGTGTGGAAGACGGCGGGAAGGACGAAACAGGCAGCCACACAGAGGTAGTAGAGCGACACGGCCAGGATGTCTGCCGTGCGGGTGCCGGATGCGGCCAGGGACTGGAGGCGAACAAACTGCAGTAAGCCAAAGAGGAACTGCATCGATCCTAGCAGATGCGACCAGATGTTGGCTACTCAAATAGTTAGACAGAGACGCAGGGCAGTTTGCTACCTCAATACCAACTAGTTTCATTATGAACTTTTAGTATGCTCTTGACGGAAGCGATGTACGAAAACGAAGCATGCCCATTGCAGAGTTCAGTACGCGAGCAGTTGGCAGCCTCCGACTCGACAGACGTACCGGTATCCCGTCAGGATGAATTCATTGTCTCTGTGTAACGCCTGTAAGTGCTGAAGCCTGATTGAGTCGCAAGGCTGCTCGTCATTCCTACTTTTGCCACGGTACTGAACGCAGTCTATTAGCGCACATGACCATTTGTTATGGTAGCCGGGATGGAACCTCACATATATCTTGCCAAGTCAACAGCTTATTAGTCTTGTCGGTGGTTGGAGCCTTGGGACCCATGTTCTGTCAAGCTTGATCGAGGACACTCCGCCACTCACAATAACATTGAGATAATGAAAAGGGGAAGAAAAGAAAGAAACTGGTATCTGATTAAAGCGCAGAACAAAAAGAGCTCTTCGTAGGATTAAGCCATGTGTCTCATGCTTGAGATGTAGTATGTAGCAAGCAGCGCGCCGTGATGGGCAGAGAGAGAGAGAGACAGAGGGGTGGGGCGGCGGCGGGCGGGCGGCTAGCATCGTTGTCACACTTTAGAGGGCACCAATTGTAACGATAATGTATATATACAAGTCTATGTCTAGCTATAAAAGAGAGAATTATATGCGCTCTTTTTATAAGTGCGCTTATTATTAGGGTTATTTACTTATAGTTAAGGGTTTACTCTTATTTAATTAAGCGTACGTAATTTATACTTATAATAAGTAACTTATTTTAATATACCCCTTAATTAAGC